CAGTATATGTTTTGACTCCACAGAGTGGGAAGTGACAGAGACAGGATGTTTGTGTTACTGAGTTCCATGAAGTGGGACTATTGTCCTTTGTTCTTTTTCTCTTTGCTGTCTGAAGCTAGAGAGAGAGGGAGCCATGTTGCAATGCTTCGTGTGTGTTTATATGTAAATAAAGTAGATTAGCCAAAATGCTGAGTTGCTGAGGTCTGTTACGCATGATGCACACACTCTGCGGATCCCTAAGTGTGCCAGTGTCTGTTGGCATGGGTCGCTGTGATGTTCGGGCTGAAGAAAGCTTTTGAAGCTCCTGAATGAACGACCAGGAGGGAGAGAACATGCCACTTGGGCATGTGTCTCTACCAGGGTCCTCCTCGAGTGTAGGACGAGCTCCTGACACCACACCCTGGGACCTTATGGTAAAGTATGAGCAAGAAAACTAAGAAACCATAGAATCATACAATTGTAGAGTTGGAAGGGATCCTGAGGATCATATAGGTCAAACCCCTGCAATGCAGGAAACTCAACTAAAGCATCCATGAAAGATGGTCATCCAACCTCTGCTTAAAAAAAGTTGGAATCTCCTTTCTTGTAACTTGAAGCCATTGGTTTGGGTCCTACCCTCCGGAGCTGGCAGAAACAAGCTTGGTCCTTCTTCCATGTTGCAGCCCTCTAGATATTTGAAGATGGTTACCCTTCAAAGAAGGGACGCGGGTGGCGCTGTGGGTTAAACCAGAGCCTAGGACTTGCCGATCAGAAGGTCAGCGGTTCAAATCCCTGAGACAGGGTGAGCTTCCGTTGCTCGGTCCCTGCTCCTGCCAACCTAGCAGTTCGAAAGCACATCAAAGTGCAAGTAGATAAATAGGTACCACTCCAGCAGGAAGGTAAATGGCGTTTCCGTGCGCTGCTCTGGTTCGCCAGAAGCAGCTTAGTCATGCTGGCCATATGACCCGGAAGCTGTACGCTGACTCCCTCGCCCAATAAAGTGGCATGAGTGCCGCAAACCCCAGAGTCGGCAACAAGTGGACCTAATGGTCAGGGGTCCCTTTACCTTTACTTACCCTTCAAAGCTGAGAGCAGGAAGGAGGAACCATGTCAAAGAAAAGGAGTATTCAACATCTGTTTGATTATTTCCACCATTCCTTGAGTTCCCCTATGCCAATCTGTCACAAACCAACCTGAGAGCCTCATTACACCTCCTTCACCTGCTAAAGCCTGTCCGTTAGCCTGTCATTCCTGCAGATGACATCATCGCTCCAATTGTAGGGGAAAACTCCCAGAATTGTTCTGCTCTGCGCTCCCCCTCTGCCACTTTAAACACACAGAAATGCCACTGTCATACTTGGTTTAGCCTTTTCTCCTTTGGGTTTTATTGACTTTCTCTTCCCCATATAAGCCACAGAGAATGAACAATAACTCTCAGCTGAGTTTTCTTTTGTCACTCACCATTGTACATTTTTTTATTATTATTATCATCACCATTGCTCTTTCTTGAAAAGGAATTTCCCATCTTTTCAGTTTTCCTTCATGCTGGATCCACTTTGTGCATTTTATCATCCCTATTGTCTCGCTTTGAACTCTGCCCAATTCAGCAATCTCCTACTCTTTTTTTAAGAAAGAAAAAGGGCTAACCGATTCTGCATGCACATCCGCCTCTGTTCCACTGAAACCAGAGATTTGCACAATGGCATTACAATCCCCTTTTCTGTCTCCATTCTCCGGCAACTTAACATCCTTTTCTGCTGCCGCTGAATTATTTTTATGTTCCAGGACGTCTTTTGAGCAATGAGGAAAACAAAAATCTGTGAGTGTTTGCTATTTATTTGCGTCACGAGCATAATAGCATTTCAGTTTTTCAGGCTCCTTTCCCTGGTGTCCCTCGACGGTGTACCGCTAGATGCAAAGACGTACCCCCAAGACATTTTTCAAAATGGGTTTCCCCCCCCTGCCCCACCAATCTTGGCTTTCAGCCAGATGCCTCACAAATGCATACAAATCTCTGGGCTGCACTTCCAGAAGGGGGGCGGGGGGGCCTATATGGAAAGAATAGGCTTTATTCTGCAGTGCAAGAAAAACAAGGACACTTTGACACATGACATAGTGGCTTTCAGTATTATTATGGAGAAAACAAAGCTTTTGAGGGACTGTTTCTGGCCAAGCATGGGTGGGGGGGGAGAGAAGGGACTCTTTTGCTTAGGGTTGGCCCAAGACATTTTGGCACCTGAGGTGAACCACAAAATGGTGTCCTTCCAACCAGGGAAGAAGGGGGTGAGTAAATATCTACATGTCAGGAGCAGTTGTCAGCAGGGTCTCTGCCTTGCCCCCACAACAGTGGGTGCCCATGGCATGCTGATGTCACCACGGCATGTGTGCATGTGTGCGCACCACCAAGTAGAGCCTGAGGGGAGGCCCAGCCCCTTTATTGAAAATTTGTGGGTGCCGGGGCCCCCACTGTCCCACATAGTTGACGCCTATGGTTGTCAGGAGCAGGTCAGCAAAAAAGCAGACGGTGCCAACAAATTTAACTCTTTCTTCAAGGAAACAAAGTTGGCTCAGGAGGCCAGGTGAGCACAGCAACTTGTCCCAGTAGATCTTACCCCTATGAGGCAGTTGTAGGGACTAAAGGTTCCCGCCTTCCCACAATTGCCCACAATTGTCTTTCCCAAACAACCTGAGATTTCTTTGCCTTGTCAGTCTCTGCTCCACCCTCTTCACACCTCTGTGGGAGCAAGGGGGTGGGAGCTGGTCGCAGCAAGAGGGGGAGACCCCTGTGCTTCTTCTCCAGCCTGCCCCATCTCTGCCTCTTGTCACCCCTCTTCTCCAGCCTCTGCTCCCTCTGCTTCTGGACCACTCTCTGCCACAGACTCTTCCTGCTCACTAAACCCTGTTACCTCTTCATCTTCTAACACTTCCTCCTCCCAGTCTGCTCCCTCTAACCCAGCCTTTCTCAACCTGGGGGTCCCCAGATGTTGTTGAACTACAACTCCCATCATCCCTAGCTAGCAAGGCCAGAGCTCAGGGATGATGGGAGTTGTGGTCCAATAACATCTGGGGACCCACAGGTTGAGAACCGCTGCTCTAACCCCTCATCTTCATCCTACCACTAATCCCCTGCCTCTGAGCCTTCTTCCCCTGGAGGTTCCCTTCAGGATTCCCCAACCGATGCCTCTCACTACTCCTTTGAAATTCAGCCCATCCATGACATACATCTTGAAAATGAGTGGAGCAGAGCTCTACATAGGGAATAGGGGGAGGGAGGAATCAAGTTAACCTTACCTGACAACTGAAGTGAGAATCAAATGCTCTTGTGGGGGTTGGGGGAAAGGGCTCACTCTGAATCAGGATGGGCGGGTGCAGAGCCCAGGAGACCTTAGAGGGCAGCCCACGCCAGTTCCTCTCTAGGGTGTGGAGGAGACCTGTTTGCTAAGTGTTTAATTGCAACAGAAATGGAGAATGCTTGTATGTATATTGCTGAAGGGCTTATTTAACATTGGAAAATTCCTCTGTTGCATACTGAAGCTCTCTCTGAGCTATCACAGGTTGGTAATTAACTACTGATGCTCTCTGCTAGCTTTCACGTGAGTGTTTAACCTTAGATCACATGTCAGTCAAATTCATCTTGGTGCACCATACTGCCACATCCACTGTGGTACCTTGGTTGTCGAACGGCTTGGCTCCCAAACCAATTGGCTCCTGAATGCTGCAAACCCGGAAGTGAGTGTTCTGGTTTGCACATGTTTTTTGGAAGCCGAACATCCAACGTGGCTTCCACAGCTTCCGCAGCTTCCACTTGAGTGCAGGAAGCTCCTGCAGCCAATCAGAAGCCATGTCTTGGTTTTCGAACAGTCCTGGGAGTCAAATGGACTCCTGGAATGGATTAAGTTTGACAACCAAGGTACCACTGTATCTGGATCAGGGTGCTGATTTAGGGAGACTTTTCCGCTTTGCCCCTGCCCCCCTCTTCAGTCCTAATCTGGATCAGGATCCTCACATGTGCCATGTGCCATGCGCCATGTGCATGACTGTGGGTGGGTGAGGAGGCTTCCATTGGAGCTTTCCCCTCTCCCATGTATATTGCAAGTTCAATCCCTCAGTGTGGAATGGGAACAAAGTGAAAAATTAAAGGCTAAAGGCCCCTAGCTAATCCCTCTCCATGCCAGGGTCCCAATATGGATCTGTCTCCCCCCATATTTCTGAACTAAACAGGCTGTTTCAGAAAGGAACTCACACTCTCAAGGCCACGAGAGATTAATGTCATTTGTAGTTTGGCCCTTGCTCTTTTCCAGGTTGGATTGGTAGGGATATAAATGACGCATTCAGGAGAGCATCTACTGTCATTAAGAAAAATTAACAACCTTTGTTCAGTTCCTGGTTACTGCTCATCTGGTGACCCTCGCAAAATCATAGTTGAGAGACATTCATACTCGGTAATAACGGCGACCCAAATTTGTAACAGTGTTATTCTGATATTCATTGTGGGTTTTCTCTCCCTCTCCCAACCCCAGATCATCTTGAGGTCATGAGGGCACGCTGAGTACAATGAACACGGTGAACTATGTCACCTAGAAGAAAAGAAAGCACCTTAAGTCATCTCTCTAGAGAACATTTACTGTGACAAGGCCAGCAGTAGCAACGGCTCACTTTCAATAAGTTGCATTATTGAAGTGAGCAATATGACTGAGAATCCGACATGTATACTTCTCTTTTTAATTTAAGTACAGTGGTACCTCGGGTTACAGACGCTTCAGGTTACAGACTCCGCTAACCCAGAAATAATACCTCGGTTTAAGAACTTTGCTTCAGGATGAGAGCAGAAATTGTGTGGCGGTGGCGCGGTGGCAGCGGGAGGCCCCATTAGCTAAAGTGGTACCTCAGGTTAAGAACAGTTTCAGGTTAAGAACAGACCTCCAGAATGAATTAAGTTCTTAACCTGAGGTACCACTGTATTTAAAAGCAGCAGAGGAAGCCAATAATGCTTTCCCTCTCCTCCCCACCACTCATTTTCCACACAGATAGCTCAGTTGGTAGAGCATGAGACTCTTAAGCTCCAGGTCGTGGGTTTGAGCCCCACGTTGGGCAATAAGATTCCTGTTTTGCAGTGGACTAGATGGAGCCTCACAGTTCCTTCCAACGCTACAATCCAGTTATTCTAAGAGTCTCCATTTCCCACACCCCCTTTCTTTGCCAAAACATTTCTTCTCCCCACCTCATGGTGTCTTACTTTCACTTCCTTTCTGTATCTCTGTCAAACCACTGACTTACAAATTCCTGCTGAATTTCCATACAACGTTTGCCGCTGCTTCCTGTCAGACAGGACCCCAGTTTCACAAGAGGGCAGCTGGTAAGCCATGGTGCTTATATTATTACATGTATATCCAACCTTCCTTCCCAGGACCTCGTAGTGGTGTCCCAGATGGTTCCTCTCCATTTGAGCCTCACAACAATCCTATAAGGTAGACCAGGCTGAGAAACTGCGAGTGAGCCAAGGTCACCCAGTGAGTTTCATGCCGGAGCAAGGATTCGAACCCTGGTCTCCAGGTCCTAGACCAATACTGCACCACCCTGGCTCTCATGTACTGCACTCAGCTAAGTGACTGCCAGAGACTGGGCAGAGGAGGAATGGTGAAGACCACCTCCTCATCCTGACCCCTCCAGAGAAAGACAGTATAGATTTACAACAGGGATTTGAGGGAGGTCACAGCTCAGAGGCAGATGAGGGGAAAAGTTGGGAAATAACGGGGGGAGGAGATACAGGACCGGAACAGCAGCTGACCGACACAATGTCTTTAGAAAGCATTCCAGACCCTCCATCTCCCAGAACCTGGCGAGCCTTAAAAGTAGGAGAGCAAAGAGCACAAAGACAGAGGGCACATAGAAGCACCCGTAGATGAGATGCTGAGAATGAATAATAATAATAATAATAATAATAATAATTTTTATTTATACCCTGCCCTCCCCAGCCAAGGCTGGGCTTAGGACGGCTAACAAGCAATAATAAAAACAAGTTGAATGAATACAACTTAAAAACAAAATTAAAATACAACATTAAAATATTGAAACATTAAAGTATTAAAATGTAGCCTCATCGCAGGAGGAGAAAGGAAAAGAAAAAAAGAAAGAGGGGGAGAAGAAGAAGAAGAAGAAGAAGAAGAAGAAGAGTTTGGATTTGATATCCCGCTTTATCACTACCCGAAGGAGTCTCAAAGCGGCTAACATTCTCCTTTCCCTTCCTTCCCCACAACAAACACTCTGTGAGGTGAGGCTGAGAGACTTCAGAGAAGTGTGACTGGCCCAAGGTCACCCAGCAGCTGCATGTGGAGGAGCGGAGACACGAACCCAGTTCCCTAGATTACGAGTCTATCGCTCTAAACCACTACACCACACTGGCTCTCTTCCCACACTGGAGGGAATCAAATTGGCTCCAAGCCAAAGGCCAGGCGGAACAACTCTGTCTTACAGGCCCTGTGGAAAGAAAGCAGATCCTGCAGGGCCCTGGTCTCATGAGGCAGAGCGTTCCACCAGGCTGGAGCCAGTGTTGAAAAGGCCCTGGCTCTGGTTGAAGCTAATCTAACTTCCTTAGGGCCTGGGACCACTAGGATATTGCTATTTATGGACCTTGAGGCTCTCTGTGGGGCATACAGGGAGAGGCGGTCCCGTTGGCACAAGGGTCCTAGGCCGTGAAGGGCTTTAAAGGTCAAAACCAGCACCTTAAATCTGACTCTGTACTCCACCAGGAGCCAGTGCAACTGGAAAAGCACTGGGTGAATATGCTCCCATGGCAGAGACCCCGTGAGGAGCCTCGCTGCAGCATTCTGCACCCGCTGGAGTTTCTGGGACAGCTTCAAGGGCAGCCCCATGTAGAGTGAATTACAGTAGTCAAGCCTGGAGGTGACCGTCGCATGGATCACTGTGGCCAGGTCGGGGCGGGAAAGGTAAGGAAGAGTGAATGAAGAAGTGGGAGAGACGAGGGGTGGAGATTCACTCGGGCAACGGCATTATCCAAGAGTCTGGGTTCCATAGCCTCTCTCTGTAATATTGAAATAAAAAAGGACGGTAAGAAACTTTCCCTTCTCTTTATACTTTCCTGGGCAATCAGCTGGGAGCCACTGACAGCAGCCTGACAGTGGTCCCCAGAGAGCTAGCCATGAATCAGTGTGGCCCTTAGGCTTAAAAAGTCTTCTTAACTCATAAAGATACAATTGCCACATTACTCCATTTCTGTCAACCAGCGTCTTTTTCAAAACACCTATCGTTGCGAACTCTTGAAGAAATCTTGTAGCTGAGACAAGATCCTCTTTTTTTTTAAGTGTTCCAGTTCCTAAAATACCAGTTTCTCTGATATATATATATATCAGTTTCTTCCTAAGCCTGATCTTGTAGACCACATTTTAGCTGCAGGCAATTTCTACTTTTTTTGTAGCAGTAGAAATATAAAGGCTTGAAAGCCTCAAGAGATTATCCTGAATGCTCTAGGAGACTCTTAACTAGCGTGGCCACTACAATAATAGACACATCTGTGTGGTTACCCATGTTTTAATTGCTCGTCAAAGTTCTGTCATGTTCACCGTGGGCGAAGTGACATCCTTTTCAGCTGAACACATACAGAGAGATCACTCATGCAACGCCGACTGCCGGAGACTTCCGCTTCTCATTTATCCTCACGCTTTGCTTTCACTGCTGTTCGCAGCTCCAGTGTTGCATGAACCAGAATCCAGCCCCATCCCCCCCCTCAACCCCTTTTTGGGTTGTAAGGCATCACAAAAGAGAGCCGTGCAATATTTTCAGATAGCCTTTTGAAAACAGCATGCAACAAAAGCATGTCCGTGGGGAATTCGTGGCAAACTACCGAGGGGGAAAATGGGATGACACACTTATATGTTCTTATATGCAGCTGGGCAGGAAACTCTGCGAAATTGGGGTATAGCGGGGGACGTATTCACATAGCCGGAGAGAAAAAAGGACCTCACGGCAGGGAACCTTAATATGGTTTGCTGCAATGGAAAATATTTATAGGAAACTATTTACCTGGACAATTCAATCCACTTTCAAGGCTCCTAGGCACTGGGTTATGGATACTGAGCTGTGATGAGAGCCTTTCATTAAAGACACGCTTTCATTCACAGCAACTTGCTGTTCTTTTTAAATATATAGATAAATATATATATTGATTTTTTTTTAAAGAGGAGGAAAGGTTAATCATAGAACTCCACTGGGGTATGCCTGTGTGTACAAATGTCTAATATACCCTGTTGTGTACATTTTTGAACACATTCCTTTTGAACACATCTCTCTCTCTTTCTCTTGGCAGGAAAAAAATCAGACTCCAAATAGCCCTTTATAAGTTGTCCTTTTAGCTAGGGATGGAGGAGAAATGTGATTTGGTTCACGTTTATGTACCTATATTTAAGAACATTTACATACCACTACTTTTTTTAACAGTGTTTCTATGTTTTGCAGGGGGGAAAGAAAATTAAAGTATCAACATTTAAAAGTTAACCTACCTAATTCACACTTCTTGAAATAATACACAGAATGAAACACAGCCAACCTTCAAAATTCACATTTCTTTGGAATGAACTTCATCAGTCAAGTAATTTGCAGAAAAATGCACACAATGTGAATATTCCACAAAAAATGGATTATATTAGCGAACATTGCTTTGTAAATGGGGAGGAAGCACTGACAAAACTGTGCCTATTTGGAGAAACTGGAATTAAAATGCTGATCAACTCACATGATGACAGAATCCCAAATTTGATCTGGAAATATGGTGAACTGAACTAAAGACTGATTATTATTTTTAAGTGGCTTTGAATTTGATGGATTGGCACATGCCAACTCAGATCTTGCAAAGTTCAGTTTTAAAAGCAACTAGATGTTCTACTTCAACTTTTCTCAAGAGTAACAAATTCCAGTTCATATATGTTCCTTTACTGTTCAGTTCACAGTTCAAATTCATCCAAATGACCCTCTGCGAAAATAAATAAGCAAAAAAACGTTCAGCATTCAGGACATTACAAGCTGCTGTGCTGAGGTAAAATATATATATATATATATATATATATATATATATATATATATATACCTAGGAAGACTTTTAAAAAACCTGAAACACACACAGAACAGAATGTGAATTGTTCAATTTATTTTCCCCAACAGTTGTGATCTTTGCGCTTCAAGGCCCCAAAAATCTAAAGCATAAAAAACACATGTAAGAGAATGAACTTGAAGAGGAACTAGAAACCCTTCAAAGTTCTGCCCCCAAATGAACTTAATTCACTTTCATTTCTCTTGGCAATTATGGGGACTCCTTTTGGGTGTAGTTCAAAGGTTTTTGACCCATTTCAGTGAACTTTGTTAAACCGAATTAGCTTGTTCCAAGAGCTGTGCCTATTTCTTGCCACACAGCTCACAAGGCATGGTGACATTGTGTGATATTCTGGACATTTTTATGCCGAGCAGTTGTGGTCTTAATACCTCTGACAAATTATGTGTATGCCTTTATGGCTGTGGAGTGGTGGAGACAACGTCACTGTGGAAAACCAGTCGTGGGGTTCATTATGTTCCCGCTGCATCACGGGCTGCATTAGTTAGTTAAGAAGCTGTTAACACAGAGCAGGAAAGGCGCAGGATGTCTTTTTGAAATGTTCTGTCTGGGTTCACAGCTGCTCCTGACTGCTGCTTTTTCCCTGGATGGATAGGAAGTTGTAATCTATGGTATGATAAGGTCAAAGCACATAAAGCATTTAAAAACCACATTGTCAGGAAAGCGCTGTTTAATGTTTGGGTAAGATACAAGGATTTATTAGAAAACAAAACCCCAAGGTGGCTGTCACCAATGGAAGCGAAAGCCTTGAAAAAGCTCAATATGGAGGTCAAATGGCCGAAATATTGGGAAATTTTGGAACAAGATGGAGATAGACTGAAATTTCAGAGTTTTGAAAAACTAAAAAACAAAGTGCGAGACTGGCTTCATTATTTTCAGATAATGGAGGCATTTAAATTGGACAAGAAAATTGGCTTCCAGGTGGAAAAATCAAAATTAGAAATTGAACTGTTAGAACCCAAAACTAAGAATT